TTTAGTGAGTAACTCTCTCGTTTCGACTTAGTGCCCAGCGAGTAGCAGCTGTCTTGGCGTTTCGACTTGGTGCTTCTACAGAGGTAACCAGTCTCTGTATCAGCGTTTGGATTTGGTGCCACAGTAGGCGAAGACTGTCTCGGCGTTTCGACTTATTTTGCTATTACAGACTAGAAAACTGTTATAGCGTTTTTGAATTTTGTGCCATAGTAGGCAAAGACTGTCCTGGCGGTTGGATATAGTGCCACAGCGGGATCAGGCTGTCTCGGCGTTTAGATATAGGATTTTTGATTTTTGTTGTTTTATTTGGTGTTTTTAATTGTTTTTGGTTTCGTTTGGTAGTCTCCCTATTAGTCATCGGGGCGGTCTGTGCGTTCTCGAAGATTTTCGCATTTCGAACACGTCGCAAGAATACCGACAATACCCCCTCTAGCACCTCAACGAGAGGGCTGCACACATTAGAGGTGGCGTAAATCGGTTTCTCGCGACGTGTTACCCCTATATCTGATAGAAAATTGACGAGTTTTGATGAAAGATTTCTGCTTAAAAGTTGGTGTGTGTTTGCTTACTGTAGTAAATGGCAATCTAGGCTTATAGAGATAGTATACTACTAATCACAATATTTGCTAAAGGTAAGGTTAGTTTTACATACGTACTATAACTAGAAGCAACTGCATTAGTTAAAAACATAATCTTTAGAGCGAGACAGGAGACTGCTAGGCGACAGCAGGCAGCACAAGTGGGACTAGCAAACTTAGGCACGTGGCTGTCGTCGACGCTTCTAGAATCCGTCCCGTGCGCCACAGCTACACGAATATCTGAGCACGCTACTGCTAACGTGTTGGATCAGTAAGTGGGCCGGATTAGTTAGTGGGCCACCCCACCAAACCTGACCCGACTCTCTCCACAACCACCACCATGCCGCGACAACAACGCTCTGTACAGACTGCTCGTGAAGGTAGAGTTCTTCTAGCATCTCGTGCGCTTCAAGAGAAACGTATTAAAAGCTTACGCCAAGCTGCCTTATTGTATGACGCTCCACGGACAACGCTCCAGCGACGCATCCAAGGTACCCAACCGCGATCAGAGCTGCGATCTGTCAACCGCAAACTATCAGCTACTGAAGAGCAGTCCCTTGTGCAGTGGATTCTAGACCTTGACCGACGCGGTTTTCCGCCCCATATCATTGACGTGCGACGGATGGCAGACGCTCTACTCGCTGCCCGCGGCCAAGATCCACCTCCACAGCCTGTTGGCAAGAAGTGGGTGTCGCGCTTTGTCCAAAGCCAGCCAGAGCTTCAGACAAAGTGGACTAGGAGATTTAATAGTCAGCGCGCTGACTATGAGGACCCTGCTGCAATTACAGCATGGTTCAAGCTAGTAGAGGAGACGCGCCAGACGTACGGCGTCCTAGACCAAGATATCTACAACGTCGATGAGACTGGATTCGCGATGGGCGTCACTAGCACGTCAAAGGTAGTCACAAGCTCTAACAGAGTCGGTCGGGCAGTTGTTATACAGCCAGGCAATCGCCAGTGGGTTACAGCGATCGAGTGTGTCAACGCGTCTGGCTGGTGTCTGCCACCATTGGTGATCCTGTCTGGCAAGGCCCACCAGAACAGCTGGTACAATGGGCTCCCACCAGACTGGGCTGTCGGCGTCTCAGACAACGGCTGGACGACTGATCAGCTTGGCGTAGACTGGGTAAAGCACTTTAATCAGCATACAGCAGCTCGTACAGCTGGAGTCTATCGGCTTCTTATTCTAGATGGCCACAGCAGTCACGCAACGCCAGAGTTCGACCAGTACTGCGCCAAGAACAAGATCATCACTCTCTGCATGCCGCCTCACACGTCACATCTTCTCCAGCCGCTTAATGTAAGCTGCTTCTCGCCGCTTAAGCGGGCGTACGGACGTGAGATTGAGAAGCTCGCCTGCCAAGGCGTCTACCACATTGTTAAGATGGATTTCCTTGCGGTCTATCAACAGATTCGGGCGACAGTATTCACACAGAAGAACATCCAGGCAGGCTTCCAAGCGACAGGCCTTGTCCCCCCTTGTCCTGATCGCGTCATATCATCTCTTACAGTTGTCCGTACACCATCTCCACCACAGACAACTATAGATAACAACGCTGCAGCGCAGGCAGTAGAGCAAACAGAAACACCAGAGACAGTAGCAGAGGTTCAGCAGAAGTTGCGCTATCTCCAAGAGCAGCTACGCCGGAAATCAGAGAGCCCAACAAGCGTTGTGATACGCCAGCTTGCTAAAAGCGCTCAGCTTGCAATGCAAACAGTAACAATACTTACAGAGGAAAATAAGAAGCTGCGTAAAGAAAACCAGCGCCAACGACAAAAGCAGGACCAGCAGCGTCAATATATCGCTTCCGGCGGGGTGCTCCAAGTCCAACAGGCTCAGCAGATGGCTGCAGAGGCAGAAAGGGTGGTGATGGAGGCTAGCCAGAGCCAGGGTGGTGAGCGACGTCAGCGCGCGCCGCCGACGTGCACAAAGTGCCACGTTCAAGGGCATACTCGGACTTCATGCAGAGCTAGATAAAGAATAATATCTCTTATTTCTATCTAATATTATTGCGTTGTTGTAGAGCAATTGCGCAAAGCGTTACGTTAAGTTTAGTAGGGTGGCCCACTAACTGATCCGGCCCACTTACTGATCCAACACGTTAGCTACTGCGTACTAAGAGCAGCTAAGCCGTCGCAGCTGGTCAGACGAGTTTTGACGATCTTGCTATCAGCCCGGAGAAACTGCTAGAATGCACACTCTGGACTTAGACTAACCTTCAGAGCCTGTGATCTTGATCTTTGACATTTTGGCTTTACTTTGAATCCTCTAAATATGTGAATAAGCTTATATGTCGTAGATGAACAGGGGGTGCTCAACAGAGAGTTAATAGACAGCAGGACACAATGATTAATTCAACAAGCAACGCCGCGCTTTACTTCATCGGAGGCTGATGGACTAAGAGAACCCTAGTTGTAGATTCGATGTACATTCAGCTTGTCTATATACGGGTGCGGGGCGAGGAGTGCGAAGGTCCGAAAGCAAAAGCGTCTCGGCACACAGTGTGTCTCGCTACGCAGTGACTGACATTAATTACTATTCTTTAGGCTGACCTACCTCCGAGACGGATTACTGTAGTGTTGGTTAGGTTATTCGCCGTTTTGTCAACGTTGTTAATCGACTCTCTGGCGACTACCCCTTGTTCGTTTGTAGGGTTAACTACTTCTGAAGCATCCGGAGGGTTAAGCAGCAAGCGCGATAAAGCAAAATAGTATCTTGACGGTTTGAGAGCTTTTCAACATAGCAGTGTGCATGCCGGGAGCCCCGTAGTGCGAAGCAGGAGATCTGTGAAAACGAGCCCGAGCTGGCGGGATGCGCTAGTGTCTCTTAGTATGCATGGGCCTGTATTAGCGCGCTTGTCGCCCACTGTATTCTATTGTAATAAATTCAGCGCTATGCCCGCCCTGTAGCATCTTGAAATGGATGTGGCCCGCGCTGCTGCCTTTCTAGAAGCATCTAGAAAGACGTGCATACTCCTGGAGATACATGAACAAAGCTAGTTACTCAGGCCTTGACACAAGATTATCCTCCTGGTGTTGATGCGCATCCGCGTCGAGCAGCACCCAGGCTAGCCGCTCGTGGCCTTCAGCTAAAGCTGCCTGCAGTGCGTTGTCGTACTCTCCACCCTGCAGGTTGACGTCAGCGCCCGCGTCGAGCAGCATCTTGACTACCTGCCCGTGGCCTCTCTCTGAAGCTGCATACAGTGCGTTGCCGTACTCTCCACCCTGCGCGTTGACGTCGGCGCCCGCGTCGAGCAGCAGTCTCGTAACAGTACTAAAGCCTAGTAATGCTGCGTAGTAAAGCGGCATAGGTATGCTATCGAGACCTTTTTCTAAATTTGGCATCTCCCGAGGACGGTCTGGATCATGCAACCGGAGCCAGTTAAGATATGCAGGCTCTTCAATAGCCATCAAACTCATCGCTAGACGGCTCGTCCGTTCCATCTCGTCTCCTGTCTTTCGAAGATGGCTGCTCCAGAACTCTGCAGAGTACCTTGCAAGTGCGAACGTCTTAAGAGTCTCTTTTAATAGTGGTTGCTGGAGCTGGATTAGGTACTTTAGAGAGCCTCTCGTTATTACATCGTGGCATTCAGCCTCTTGCATGCTGTACTGCTTTGCTGACCCTTGCTTGATCCTGTCTGACACAAGGTACTCCTGCACTGAATAGTGTGCTAGAGCGATGATCTGTTGGGCAGGCCCTGATCTCCCGTCCGCTTCGTTCTTCGTGATAGTGACTAGACTAGAGCAGATGCTCAGCACTTCTAGCGGGTCTTCTAACACCTCATCACGATCGAACGCTGGGTCGCGCGCCACGTCAATGGCGACGACTTCGGCGATCTCTTCGACGGACAGCGGCCGCGCAGAGAACGTCAGCCATTGCAGAATGCGCATCGCATACTTAGAATATCCGTCGTTTATCGCGGACAGAATGCGCTCGTATGTCTGGTCTAGCGTTTGCGGCAAAGTAGCAAGTGACTCACGCAGCATCGCCCGATTGAGACACTTTGCTAACGTGTCAAGCTGGCATACAACCCATCGAAACCTACTGTATGGTCAGCTTTAGTTTTGTAAAGAATTGAGTGAACACATACATCCCATGAGCACCACGCATCATTGCAGTCTCAATTTCTTGCCTGATGGCAGCGTCTTTATTCCATTTTGCCAAGCCCTTATCAATACGTAGCCTTTGTTCAACGTATTGTTGTATATCCTGATCCACTACGTCCCTTTGAAGACAGATAGCTTCCTCTTCCCCAACGTAACTCTCTAAGAATGTCTCGATATCCCGCTCTTTTCGGCTGGTCATAAGCAGATGTAGGTTATCAAGCTGCCACTCAGCCACCGTCTTAAGCATGTCCATCAGCTCCGAGCGCTGCGTACACTCGTCAAGAGCATCGAGAACAACGTACACGTGGGTGAACTCTTGCGCCGCCTCCTTCGTTACTTGTAAAAGCGCATGTAGTGAAGGCTGTCGTTTTCCGTCTTCGCAAGATGAGAACAACGCGTCAACGCCCTTCGGTATCACGACCGACCGCTGCACGAGCTGGTAGAGCAACGAGTGGAGCATCAGCTTTGGGTCCTGTTTTTGTGTATCGTTGAAGTCAAAGTAGAAGTATGCCGTCACTATACTAGTGTCATCATGGCAGTGCTGCAGCAGATGCTCGATGATGGTAGAGCTTAGGATGGTCTTTCCACATCCTGGGATCCCATACAGCCACAGTCGCGACGCTGCACTCTCTTTCCATCTCGTGAACTGCTCACCCTCTAGCAACCAGACTCCGGTCTCAGCCTGCCGCTGCTTATGCGCTTTGTGGTAGTTGGTAGACGGGTCAGGCGCCGAAAGCCAGCTGCGTATCTTGCTTAGCTTCTCTTCTTGGTCTTGACTGCGGCCCTTATGTTTCAGAATAGCCGCGCTTCTCAGCCGTTCGAGTGCATTCTCTTTGCCTTCGCCATAGATCAGCGGTAGGTGGACGCCGAATATGCCAAAAAGACAATACGCTCCATCTTCTTCCTCTGTTGTCTGTCGATTCGCTGCCCAAGAGAAACGCTTCGTAACGTCGAACTCGGACAAGTCGCTCCCTGACAGAGCTTCGATAGGTATGCCTGTAACCTCGTGTATAAGGTGCTGAAGCGACTCCTTGTCCCCTAGCCGCTCTCCCTCTTTAGAGAAGAACTCAACAGAGTGAGGAGCAAGAAGCTCCTGAAGCGTCCAGCCCCGCCTAAACCACCTGCTCTGCTTAAACGCCGACTTGCTATCGGTTTTTGGAGTGTCGTTCGCGACGTCTGAAAGGAAGACATAACACCTTTTGGCATTCTGGTACCATCGGAACATAGAGTTGATAGCTTTCGACAGTTCTGTGTTGTTTGCCTTGTCAATGCAGCAGGTGTCGACCCAGAAGTAGTCCAGACTATCCCGTTTAGCCTGTCGCGCGCAGAAGCGAATCTTCCGATATCCCTCCTTGTGTTGTGTGTCGACGTCTACTGTATTGTCCAGATCTTTCAGATCGGCAAATGTCACCTCCTGCCCCTCCTTCCAGGTGTGCGACAGGATCGCATACGGGGGGATCTTGTCCCCAATTAAGTCCTCAGTCCATCTAAGCTTCCCATCGCTTTTGATGTACAGCAGTCTCATCGAGTTATGTATGCGTCTCTGTGCGCGAGGGGTAGAAGCGAGTCTTTGAGCCTCGAAGCAGGCTGACGGAATCGACGGCGCACGGCGGCTCGCTCGCGTAGGATGTGGAGATCGTAGTTATCAGGCTTGTTTCAAGTGCTAAGTGACGGTTTGCTAAGGTAGAGGTGAGGAAGACTGCCCTTCTCGTTGTTGGGGCAGGCTGCATCTCCAACACCCAGGGCAGGAGGCGCAGCCCGCCTGCGCCGTGACACGAGGCTGGCCGGGCAGGGTTGAAAACACATGATCGCGCAACAGCCACCGTGCTGCGAACCGAGAAGTAGATATTGCCTAAGGACGCGATCTAATAGCTCAGAAAACGCAAGTTACGGACAGTCGTTTACTGTAAGAGGATGTCAAGATGTCTGTGCAGCGCGTGCTAGTTCGTGCAAGGACACACTGGCCAACTATCGTGGGGCTCGGAACGCAACGCAGCGACGATAGCGTCAAGAACCCAGAACATCTTGAGCGACGCATCTGTCTAACGCCAGCAAACGGCTCTGACGCGGACAACGAAATACTATCGATCTGCAGCATGCTATGGACCACGTTCACGCAATCTCCGCCTACCTAATCGCGACTACCCTATTCTCGAGCCTTCCACCCTTAGTTATTTAATGTGAGCATGCTGCCTTGTCTACCTAAATCCTGCGATATGTACTCTTAGCATCCGTAAGACGCGTTGAGTAACCGTAAAGCCAACATACTGAACAGACGTAAAGTTTCTTGCCTCGGCTACGGTAACGTGCAATGAGGGACACAAGAACCGCGCGAATAGCCACCGCAAGGCATAGCAATAGACACAGTAGACGGCGCAACAGCGGTGTCACGACAATAAGAACCTTATAGTGGCGCATACGTTTATTACTCTTAGGAAGCGCAGCAGAACAATCGGCTTTCCGCTGGCGTACCAAGAGGCTCCGCTACAAGATCACAGCGGCCGTCTTACCCAGGCTATCACAAGCTTCATCCCATGTCCTAATCCACTAGTACATCCGCGCCACTGGGGCCCTCCATGGGGCAGGTGCAGTCTCAATCCCCACCACAGCTGCGACGGTCGATGTTGTCGCTAGCGTTATCGATGGCTGCGGCTCTTCGGTCACCCTCTTCGCCTTCGTCTTTGGCTCCGCTGTATCATCCTCTACCGCAGCACTCGTACGCTTCCGACCTCGCTTGCCTTGGCCTTTGGCCTTCTGAGCCGCATCCTTCTCAATGCGCTTCTCTCGTGCTTCCACGAGCTCCTCGTAGCCCATCACCTTGGCTTTGCCTAGTACTAGCGATTTGGTCGACCGTCGCACCTTAGCTTCGTTGTTGACTGTCAGCAAGAACTGGATGTGGTTCTGCTGGAGGGCCCCCTTTGCGAAAGATAGCTGCGCCGCTTTAACCAGCTTGTGGAGGTGCCTCTCTAGCCGTTGTTTACTTGCCTCATTGAGGGTACTAGAGTCCTGCTCGATGATTGTGTTTCGAAGCGACACAAGGCCCTGCTCTGACACCGGCGTGACAGGTGTCAGTGGAACTTCGCTCTGGTCGCAAGTCTCGACGTTTATCTCGTCGGCCTTCACGATAGTCAGATCAGCAAGAGGCTTTGGCATACTTCTGAGCACTCTGTCTGGGTTGAACGGAAACAGCCCGCTTGCAGCAAAACCAGCTATAATGTTCTTCGAAGTAAAAGCTTTCTTCCTTGCAGGGCTATAGAGGGAAGTAAAGTGTTCTTTGCCGATTGTGTTGACGCCTCCCCGCTCTAGGCGCTCGGCTTGCTCGCGGTAGGCGGCCTTGAGTGGACTGAACACCGCAATGTCGCAAGGCTGCAGCTTGTGGGAAGTATGAGAGGGAAGACGGCAAAGGACGATGTTGTTGGCGAAGCAAAACTCTAGCACTTCAAGAGTCTCATGTGTCCCAAAGCCATCACAAACTAGCACTCGCGGCTTACCTCCAGCTCGCTCTTTAGTCTCAGGGTTAAATATACGCTGAAGCCATTGTAAGCTAATATAAGAATCCGTGTATCCAGTGTCAGAGCACGCGTACTACCATCCAGGGGTAGGAAATGTTGTCCAGTTGCTCCGATGCGTCGTAGCCGGCCAGATAATCATAGGGTTTAGATACCTACCGTCACCGCTAATGTACTTAATCGCGGTAACTATAGTGCGCTTAACATGCGCACCTCTATAGTCTCGCATATCATCCTTACCTACTAATACTTTAACTGTACCTAGCATAGAAAGCATCACGCCAGTCTCGTCCATGTTGTATACGTTCTCCTTAGAAATAGCAGGGTCTCGCAGTAGCCTTCCAATCACTTTAAACCAGTGGCTTACCCTCCAGTAGATATTTTTCTCGTGACGATTCCAGTCTAGCGCCTTGACCCTCCTCGCTTGTGTCTCTGGATGGCGTTTCTCAAAGCCTTGAGTCCAGTTCTTGCCCGGCGGCTTTAGCGGGCGGTGGGTCTTAGATCGCTGGCGGGTGACGCAGAAGGCTAGAAAACGTATGTACTTGATGCGCACAGGTTGTCCGAGATCAGACATCTGGAGGAGAAAATGAACGAGGGCATCCTCCTCGTACGGAGCGAGGTACTGTTGGCTTCGGGCCTTTTCTTCTATCGAGCGACGACCCCGCGCACGATGGTGCAGGGTTGTGTGAGGGACACCACCACGATCTGCGCGAGCACGGTATGATTTAGATAGGCTAGGAGGAACGGGCTGCGCCAGGACACGACTGGCTGCATCCATGGTGGCGAACGTGTTAGCAATAGAGAGACGAGGAGCATCTGGGGAGACTCCAAGCAGGGAGCGCAGCCCGTACACACAACAGCTCCACAGGCGCGCAGCCGTAGATGCTTCTAGAAATCTATCAGCAGGCGCCACTTCTATTTTAAGAGGCACACTACACGAGCATAGCGTCGTTTTTGTTACAATAGAATACAGCAGACGACAAGGGCGCTAACAAAGACTAGTGTATGTGCCAAGCCACGCTAGCGTATCCGCTAACGCTGGTTTGTTTCCAAAGATCTCCTGCTCCACACAACGGAGCTCCCGGCATGCTCGCTCCTACGTTTGAGTAAGACCATGAAGCCGGGAAGTCAATCTTCCTTCATTAAACTCTCTTTATGACCCTTCGAGTAGTCGGTTACTCCTTATGCCCGCCACTGGACAGGGGGGTGCTGTTGAAGAGTCGATTGACGACGTCGTTGAATCAATTAATAGCTAAGCCAACACCACAGCAATTCTTGTTGGAGATGAGTTAATTGAGAAATGTTAACTGGAGAATCTCTAAGATTGCAACAATTGCGGCAACAAATTCGACTACGATGATGAAACGAATTCACCTCATATTCTAGAAAAATGCGGTGCTGTGAGTGAATCAAATACGACATCTATGAAATTACTAATCGACTCAGCCGTGGTGTCACAGCTGTATCCAAAAGAGACGAAGAGTGTGTATGCACCATAGCAGGCTTGGTACGCAGCAAAGTCATAGACTTTACAGCAATGCATGCGTCATCTGCCACGAAGATCAAGCACAAACCACAATCGATATGGAATGCGGTAACTTACGTTCTATGGCATAGCGTATAACTCAATTCTTACTCCCCTGCAGGGCATCCAGTGTGTCGGGAGTGCTTAAGGAACTGGCTTAGTTGGAAACATGGAATGCATCAGGACGACGTAGTTCACAGCAAAGTTCCGTATGTTTGCTCGCTATGTCAAAATCGTGAAAAGGCCTGTGTTCTGTTTAGCCTGCCATTGGTTCAGCATGTCCCGAGTTATGAACGTGCCAGGGCTTGTGCTGCCCGTCAGAGATAGGGCAGAGGTGCGTTCATTGCAAATCTTCTAGGAGGTTGACCAATTTGTTTGTATAATATACTGTTTTTCTGTTTCTTTTCTACCTTCTAAAAAGTAATCGACATTAGGCTGCCAAGTTTCTCACTACATGCGAAGCCTCACCGCTTTGTAATATTCGTCTGATGATACATGAATAGCATGTCGCTTACTATCAATGGGCATGTATTCATACAATGTAACCCAATCATCATTAGACAGCTCTTCTAGGACCTCATTGATTGTTTCCAGGTTAGGCATAAATGATTTGGCTCTCTTAAAGCGCGGAAAGAGCTTTTGTAGAGTTGATTAAGGGGGTGGACAAGGTGGTAGAGGTAAAAAAAGAGTGACTCCAAGTTCATTATTTTTCACAGCTGTAAGCTGAATACAATGGCGAGACATAATACGTGCGAGCTCGCGAATCCGTGGATACAAAGTGTTGCCTGCAGCTTTAAGACGTAGGTTATCTTCGTCTTCACAGTGCTGTAATATAACTTTTACTATGTGTTTGTTAGGGACTGCGAACCGGATAGAAAGTTTGCTATGTCTAGTGTAGGCTGGATAGCTTGGGTACATGGTAGAGGTGGCAACCCCTTCAGTGCTATCTTCTCTCAGCCATATATGCACATCCGTATGTATGTAAACTGTGTACATAAACTAGCTCCTGGAACTGGAAGCTGGTTCTGGGCGCTGTGCCACGCTTCATAGCTAGGGATATGCTGCGAAGGACGGTATTCCGCAACTTGAGGAGTAAGGCATTCTGTTACTCCCTAGCGAAGAAACTAGACCAACAGCAATATATGATGCGCTAAAGGTACTGACCCCGTAGTGTCATTGATCTGCATAGGACGGAATTCATTACTCGCCTTACAACTACACCCTATCAACGATCTTTCTTACATTCAGCATGCTCAGGTGCATATGGTTCTTCCTTGGCTTATGTTCGGCTCAGATCATTCCCTTTGATCAACCACTGCCCATACTTACGAGTCCGGTGGTCCAAACGAAGGCTGGATATGACCTTTATTACCAGTAGGATCTCACTGTACATTGAACTCTGATGTATTTCTTACTAGTTACCAGACTAAGCAACTTTCGCAATTCCACCTGCCAAGCGACTTTGAGTTTCCAAAATGACACATTCCTACCTATATCTGCACTCGCAATCCCAAAGACATGTCCAGGCGATCAGACGGCAAGGTTCCGTATACCGGAAAACGTACCTAGTGGCCCTGCTGCGCTTCAATGGTATGTTGAGCTGACGTTGTTGCTAAGTGAAGGCTTATTTGTATAGGGAATGCTCTGGCGCGAATGGCGTAGTGGTTGATCTTCTGGTTATTTCTGGAGGCTCTGGGGACTGGACCCGGTTTGCGGATGAGAGCGACGCTGTACGCATTGCGGTACATTGTCATGGGCACACTACGAACCAATCACACACTAATTCCACATGTATATAGGCGCGCGCGTAGATGAATGAATTCATTAGTGACACACTGCCACATGTCTTGGGTGCCGCAGGAGCGTGATATTCAATAATGTGGCACAGCGCGAGGGAGTTGGTGTCGCAGCCTAATAATAGCAACACCTGTGATATTGAACTCAAGTAATTACTAACATTCGTTTGCCCTTTCGGTCCTATCAACAAGTCATATTTCTAAACTTCTAAGGTGCGTCCCTAAGTGTAGAGACACTGTGTCGCGAGACAGGTTCACGGTTCGGAGATCCAGACATGCTTCCTATCACACTTAACGAGGTGCAAACGAAAGACCAACCCATATGTCTAGAACTGTGCTTTTGAGGGCTGCAGTCAATCCTTTGTTCCTCTGTGTGGCCCTATGAAGGCTTTCTGTAGCATCCATTGAACAGCGCTCTAGGTAGCGGACTTTGTTCGCCAGATCTTTGTACTTCAGTTCTATACCAGTACTCCTGTTATCCATCTCCATGAGAAGTTCTTTGAGATTGCAGACCTCCTCTATGGCGGCGCGGAGTGATCGGAATAGAGTGTCTACTGAAGGAGGCGTCATGGCTGAGGATAAGGAATGGGCGGACCCGGAGGGCCCAAGGCGCTGTCCGTCGATGCCACTGCCTTGGAGCTATATTCATCAGCATTTGCTACTTGGCAAGAACCAAGAACATTACCTCATTGCTGCTGCAATGTCGTGAGAGTATTCCTGAGCCCTCCTGCTCTGCCATGTTGCTGGAATCTGAAAGAAGTGGGTAGATTGAGAAAAGGGATGAATGAATTGAAAAGGAGAACACGAAAACCGCGAAAGCCACGTCAATTCGCCTAGACACAAGTGGGGGCCAATAAATGGACACAGTCTATGCGGAGAACGATTCTGGCCAAATCCCGGTAATCACAAGCACTTCTGCAGGCCTAAAAGTGTAGCACTGTAATAACTCATTAATTGAACTACGTAGTTGACTAAAAGAACCCTGTTTTTACGCGCAGTCTTTTTGAGTGATGGACAAGTTGCGATGATTGAGGGGAGCTTGGACGTTTTGCAGGGATTGCTGGCAGCGGTTTCTCTGATACCGCGTGATCGAGAGTACCGAACGGCTTCACAAGACCTTGATCATTAACCAACCTTGTTAGGGTAGTAGGAAAGCCACTTATTAGTCTTGTCTTACTCGTAATACCTCTTATAGAGAATGTAACAACCTCATCCATGCTTTCAGTGTGGAATGTTACTGATCTTTGGAATGGCGGCAACCCTCTAGGTACGGATTGCACACAGACGACAGGGTTTCCTTGAATCAGAAACCATGAGGAAGTACTAACCAGCTGGTTATATAGGTAGCGGAGACCTTCAGCGGGAAGGTCTAGGCGACAGTAAATATGGCCAAAGCAAAGATAACTATTCCCGTCGACAGTAGGTACCGCATCCAGCTCAAAATAAAACATCGATGCTAGTATGGCGTCGGTAACAAGCGTGATAGTATGCTTATCTTCCTCGATCTTTCGCTGTGCTATAGCCTTAAGGTCGGGTATTTGGAGTGCGTCGTCTAAGCTAGGCTCTGGACCTGTAAATCTTACATTCAGGCGATGATACCTAGTGCGTATACTAGGATCTAGTGAATTGTGGAAGCGTTTCTATGCGTCTTCACCATCTAGATTACGCATAAAACTTTTGAATAAACGCACATAGAAACGCGAGTTGGTAAATCCAAGGTTCGCAGGCCCCGCTGATGTTCTAGTACCTAGGGAAATGGCAAAATCAGGATTGTCTTTATCCGGCCAAAGGAATCGACTTTCCCACTGAGCTATGCTAGCTGGATTATTGTGTTGCAACCCTCCATCTTGGTAGATCCCTAGACTGCGCACCGTTTGAGGTTTGAAGAACCAGGGCGCGGCTGAGGTGCAACATGCTCTGAGTCGGCCTATTAGTCCCCAAAACTTCTGATGACGGTTTTTACTTACGCATCACTAACAGTGATATCATTTTGCGCCTTCTCAGCGCGAACAACATCGTATCCTAATGATGTTAGATCATGCTTACTGTGTTACCGCATACACTTACCAACATCATTAGGACGCTTCCCCCCATTGTAGTTAGTAAATAACCACGGGAGAGCATCATGAACAGCAGCAGTAGTAACAGCCACCTTAGTATCGTTCCGTAATGGATTGAACATCTGCAGAGGAGAGTTGAACGTTTTTCGAAATGCCTCTTGTATAGCGGCGAGGCTGTATTGGCCATCTTCAACGTATGCGTTAAGAAGCTGAAGAGCTCTCGATATTATGTCTTTTCGCTTGCCGAACGTTTTCTCAGCAACTTGCTCAAAGCGCCGTATAGACTCTGTTGCGCCCCACTGTAACAAAAACATGCCGATGACAACGAGACCCCCTATAAAGCTTAGTCATATTCCCCTACTGCTCTAGAGTTCTTACCAGCTGATGTCCCGCATACAAAATCGAAATGATCCTTAATTGCGCATCCAAGTGGGGCAAGTGTACGATCAAGATGTTGAAGAACTACTAGAGGAATCACTCCTCTAACGCCCCCTCCATCCACACTCAGCATACGTATGCCTGCTGTTGGAGGTACAAAATGGAACTTGGAGCTTTGATAGTTGACGCCGCATAGAACGCACTCTTTCAGCTCGAACGTATTTCTCTCTGACCGAGAGCGAGCTCCGAATATCCGAATGCACGGGTCGCATAAAGCATGGCCACATACAAGCACCTTCTCTGGCATGCGCAAGAAGCAGGAAAAGCATATTCAATGACTCTTAAGGTCTACTAGGTGAGGGTGGTTTGTGCGCAAGGTTTGACGATGGATTTCGCTCGCTGATACCCTGCTGTTCTGATACGTGTTGAAAATCCTACAGAACTCGTCAAGTATTGCGGATACAAACTTCTGTTGGATTTCTTCGAAAATGGTATACGTAACAATGGCAGATTTGCACGGAGCAGAGTATAGCACAGTGAAGAGATAATTAGGCGCAAAACCTGTACTTGTGAACAAATGCAAACCTGAGTAATGGTGTGACTTACTATGTGAGTTTGGTGGATAGCTAGCAAGCAACAGGGCCGAAGCTATGAGGGGTGCAGCAAAATGCCAAAGCCAGGCTTGTGATGGCATTTAATTAAGGAAATCCGTAAGGCAGGCCTCCAAGAGCTCGGTTGTGAAGCCTACTAGTCGGGAAGCACCAGCAAATTTGAAAGGCGCGGTGATATCAGTGCTCATTTGGCTCAGCGCTTGCCTTGTGAGAACATGAAAGTGGGCGTAGCTAAACTGCGTGCAATCGCTAGCACGCTCTATCATAGAAGCCTCAGACATCGCTAGCAAGCGCCTTTTCAAAGCCCGTGCACGCAATAGGGTTGATTTATATGACTGCAGTCCTAGAACCTCAATTTCTCTGATATTCTGAAGACTCGATTTATGCTCTGGGATGCAGTCCGTTCGAAGGGCTTGTTTAAGGTGGGCTGTTGCTTTGTTGGCTGCAATCCTCTCATCGAATGTATCGGATTTTGTCTCTACAACTAATAAGATGCGGGGCAATGTTGGCAAATCCCTAACTGCGACCGCATCCGCAAGGTCAGCCAGCCACTTTGCGACTGCTCTTGGGCCACCTATATTGCTAACAAAGCAACATATCACACTAGAAAAGGGAAAAAACACTTTGCCACATAGAGTGGCGTTGAAATTTCCGACCTCTGGTAGAGACCAGGACGTTGCGGGGGTGGCGGCTGCAGCGATGGTGGGGCTCGGGTGTTGCGATAGCGAGTTTTGCATGCCAGAATCGATCACAACGAGTGGTGCACATCCTCTTTGCCGAGGCAATGACCATAGATACACTTCCCTGTGTACGGGTACTGCGAGTTCGGCCCTAAGAAGTTTATCTAGCAGGATTGCCTTGGATCTTCGACCGACAAAGGTCACAAAAGATGGCCGGGAATAGTCTTCAATGGCGCTAGCCTGCGTCTCTTGGAGTGAGGAGCCCGATGGCGGCGGTTCATGGCATGTGACAATGTTTCCGCTTGGCGAAGTCTCGAAGGTAATCCAGGGAGTTGGAGGCATAGTTTCTGATGATTGTTGAGTGCTAGTCTGACTGGGGCTTTATGTGGTTGGGCGGACTATCGGCAGTCACCAGTTTTAGGGGAGCCAGAGTCGTGTTTCCCGCAGTCGCCCCAACCGATGCAGGAGACGGTTATGCAGACTACGAACTCGCGGCACAGCGCCTTGATTCCTTTATCATATACAAACTCTTTTTCAACTCAGCTCAGTTTAGCAGAGATTGCTAGTGCGTCGTTATGGAGCTGCTAGACGAAGATTTTGCCACGAAGAAGTTGACGTGCTATCGAGGGATTGCCCGGTTACCACTGGACGCTTTGGGGTTTAGGCACAGCACCGTGCTCGACAAACATCGGGAGGTCTCCCTTGAGAACGTTAGAAGATTGGAGAGGATATATGGGCAAGTTGGCTGCTTACGCTTGCAGGATGAGAATGTGGTTAATGCGATTGTTGAAGATGACCACTTGATTGCAGCATTGTCTACGCATGGAATATCACTTGACGATATGCGCAACATTCGGTGGCCACAAGAAGCGCCTACTCTGCGTCTTGAAAAAGTATACTGTCTTTCTGGTATGCACCGAATTGAGGCTGCAAGACGTTTTCTTGATGAAAATGACAAATGGTGGACCGTGAGGCTATTCTCTTATGGTAAGTGGCAGAGTATATCTCTATTACATGCATTAATTCGAGAATAGATACCCCTAAGCTAGTACTAGTGCGAATTATTGAGTCATATTCTAACGAACAAAAACCTTCTGATGGCGAGATATTTCGCAAGATAAGGCTGTATCATCGAGAGAACAATGAAGAAGCACAAAAAAGATAGTGGTCCTGCCTGGAGAAATCTAAACCCAAAGATCTACGGCAGCTTCTCAAAAGTCCTTTACTCACTGCTGGCTTTGACGCCTTAATCGACATGCCAGGATTATGGGCTACATTGCAACTTGGAGCGCTCCATAGGCTCTTAGTCCTCAAGTGTGATGAAGTACGTATATTTCTTGCTATAAAGAGATTTTTTTAATCAAGGTAGGAAATGTCACTTTATTTAACCCATATAAAAGCGGCATGGGAACAGATTTTGCGCTGTGGTGACACAGTCCTGCCATTTTCAGCTGTTGACGCAGCTACTGTAAAAAACCTTGAGCTCCTAGCTCCTAAAAATTCAACGACTGACAAAGAGTTGGTAGCCAACTTAATGGAACGCAGAGAGATATTCGCCTCTCAGCATGATGCTAATCTTCGAAATATCCTTCTGAAGAACATATGTTCATTTCCTGGTATAATTCCATCGTTAGGGACCTTTTTTGAGATGCTTAAGTACCTGGAGCCACTCTGTGAAGCACTCAGATACTTGCTAGGCGGGCAGATGAAAGGAACAATCCGCTCAAGTTTCAAGGGCCTCTACTTCGCCCCTCCTAAGAATATGGTGCAGATCAACGAGACTGAAGACGTTGAGATCAAAGTAGCGCTTAGCCAGGATCAAGCAATGATGGTTGCATACACAGAGCTATGGGCGTTCTGTAGCCGGCACTTTGATAGCTTGACAGCATTCACACCCAGGAAAGAAACAGGACAACCAAAGCCTCGTGTCAAAGGACCGAATCCAGTGGTTTGGCGATACTTGGCAAAACTTGCTCTGTCTCGAGGCTTTAAGATATCACATGCCCAGGACCTTATAGCGAAAGAGGAACACTTTCATTCGCAACTTGCTTTAGAGTACCTTCAAAAGGCAAAACCTATGTGCGCGAGCTTCCCTAAGGACCATATTCGAATAGTGGTAGAAGCAATCCGATCCGATGAAACTTTTGACAACCAGGAATCTACGCTGCTACTCCCGCACCTTGAACTTGATCGGCGGTTTGGACGACCTTTTGAACGCGACCTGCTCGTAGAGAAGAAGATAATGTTTCTACCACATTTGAGCAGCGATCCGCAATGTGAAAACTTAGACTTGCGATTAGCACGTCGTGATCTCTTCTGGTGCATGTTCACCAACTTAGATTTTCGGGTATGGAATATCCATCATCAGAAACATTATAATTAACGTGGTATTAGGGTCAGGATTTTGGGTTACCCACCACAGCCCCAAACCCAGTTCCGCCCTTGTTCAGTCAGGGTAGCGATAATATAGATGTTGACATGTCTAAATCACAAGAATTGGATACCGAACACGTAGAACTGCGATCGTGCTTGGAAAGGCTTAATCACGAGTACCAGGACCTTTCCTCTTAGCATCAGATCCTAGTAGACACATCTAAGAAGCAACAAAAGAACATTGAGGATCTGAAGAATCAAAACATAGTTTTAAAAGACCAATTAGAAAATGGTTTCTCGAGAAACTAGAAACAAGAGGAGGACTATAACCGCATCGTACATGAACACAGCACATGTCAGAATCTCAGAAACGAATTTCAGGATCTGCAACGTCAATACCAAGTGCAGTCAGAGAGAAACATGGAGCTTATATCAGAACACCAGCAACTAAAAAATGCTTATACCCGCATCATGGGAGAACACAGTACGTGCAAGAATGTTGAAGACGAACTCCAGGCTCTGGAACAGCGATACCGAATCCAGTCAGAAGAGAACAAAGAGCTTGCCTCTGAAAACGCTAGACTTCGACAACAGCAGAAAATTGCAACTGGAATTCAAACCATGAACGAAGATCCTCGAAAAGTACAGCAATTACAGGAGCCTCTTGAAATAGAAGCGACAACTATGTCAGTATTAGAGGAAAGTAACGGTACAGAATCAGATAATCCGGCCACTTACATCTGGAGAAACCACGAAGAAAAGAATACACAAGAGATCTTTTTTGTCTATGTTGTCAATAGAGATGGCGACCTAGAGGGTCGTGGCTTTGAGATAAGCAAGAGTTCAGAACAAGCGATACCCCAAATAACCGATATATTACGTCAGGCTGACACGACATTCGGAAGTGGCGGATACCATGCAACCACTGTACTGGGGTTGCAACTCACTAACATGGAGCCTGGATATCTGTTCAATTGCCTTCAGGCAAACTCGACGATATTTGTTGGAAATACTTCTACACTAGCAGCATATAATTCAGCTTCCACTGTAGCGGTGTCGCCTTCAAGATCACATCAGCAGGCTGTTACGATTGAACAAGCTTCTAGCGATGCTTTGGCAAAAAGATTAATCAAGCTAGGTAAAAGAAAGAGATATATGCCGGACGATTGGGCGATTGTGAGATATTCATTAGATTCAGAAGACGCAAGAAAAGAGATAAAAGGGTCTTCGACTATCACAAGCTCAACAAATGCAGGTGCGAAGAAAAAAAGACCAATAGGAATATTAAACTCTAAGAGGGCTTCGAGTAGTTAATCATTGATCTTTGGTGGGATGGGATCAATGACCAAGCAGAATCCAGCTGGCAACAGTAAGATCATTGAGAGAGAGCCCGTTGAGGCCGGAACAACGATATTTAACCAAGTCTTACATTCAATCATACTCTATGTGTACTTAGCAAATTTCAGACACTATACAAAAGCTACAATACGCATAGGTTGCATCTGAGTGTTCGATATTATAACGTTGATAAAAACTAACTAAGTAATTCGCCATTTGATTTGTCTTCTACGGAGTATTCATATGTACAACTAACGTCCCTCCCTGAGTGCTGGGACACCCGCCGTGCTGGGACAAATGAGGGGTACTTTGACTTTCGACACTTCGCTTTCTTCGCACATTCTAATATTCGCTATATATTTGAATTGGCTATAGTGTATAGCTATTAGTGGAGCTATCTTGATCCTCCTAACTAAAAATTACGTGGCTATTACTGCTCTTTTTGCAAATGTTACAAACAGCCTTTCCTATGTGGATAACAGCGTCACTCTGCTATAGCACTGCTTGGACGTTTTTACTACCTATCGTATATAAAGAATGTTAGTGTCCAGCCCTAAGAGCCTCATATTAACGTGGCAAGCCATCATTAGCTTCGCGCCTGCTGTAATGCCTAAAGCTATACAGGGTCGCCACGCGGATCGCTACTTCGGCTAGCGATAAGCGATCCTACATGCCCTACGTAATTAACTCTAATGTAATCTATTAACTGTGGCTAAAGACCTTGTGGCTGTGCACAGCCTTGTCTCTTTGGCAAATACTTAAATAATCCAAACTCTGGTGTTAAAAAAATACTTGAAGCAACTACTAACGAGGCTAGGCGAAACGAAATCTGCTTCTCTATGTTTATAATTATTGTAAAGTTAGCCTAACTAATATAAGAGACTACTAGTGTTTTAAGCACCACTACGTGCTCTGGCATTGATCTAACATCAATACATCCGCGCCACGGGCGCCCTCCATGGCCCTGCAACTTCGCTCATCATTGCAGCTTGAGTGATTGGCTCTAGTTCACCTAAATCCTTCTGGGCAGCCTCACGCTTACGACCACGCTTTGCTTTACCTCTTTCCGCCACAGCCTTTTCTTTGGCAGTACGCTTTGCCCGTGCCTCCTCCAGATCCTCATAGCTCATCACCTTCGCCTTCCCTAGCACGACTGATCGAGTCGCTCGGCGGACCTTGGCCTCTCCGTTAATCTTAGCCAATAGTCGGTTGTGGTCCTGCAGGAGACCTTGTTGGGCGAACGAGATGTGAGCCGCGCTCGCCAGCTTCTGTACTCGTCTCTGTAGGCGCTGTTTACTTAGTTCGTCAAGCGTAGATGTGTCCTGTTTAATTAGGTTATGAAGCGACACTAGGCCTTCTGTATTTACTGGAGTTACAGGTGTTACAGGTATTTCGTCCCTGGGACCAGATGGCATATCCTTATTACTAGCTATAGAAACCGTGAGCTCTGCAGGTGGCCTTGGCATGTCTTGGAGTACCCTTTCTGGGTTAAAAGGCAGCAAGCCACTTGCGGCCCAGGCGGCCTTGATATTCCGCCTTGTGAAAGCTTTGGTCCTTGCAGGGTCGTATAGCGAGGTGAAGTGCTCCTTACCAACTGTATCTATACCCCCTCTGTTTAGCCGCTCGACCTGGTCGCGATAGGCTGTCTTCAAGGGCGCGAATACTCCTACGTCGCAGGGCTGCAGCTTATGGGAGGTGTGAGAGGGGAGACGGCATAGCATGATGTTGTTACTAAGGCAAAATTCAAGAATTTCTAGCGTTTCGTGAGTGCCGAAGCCGTCGCAGATCAGCATCCGCGGTTTACCGTCAGCCAGGTCTCTAGTTTGGGGATCAAAAGCACGCATAAGCCACTCCAAGCTGATCTTAGAGTCATTGTAACCGCTCTCAGAGAACCCATAGTGCCATCCAGGTGTGGGATACGTAGTCCAGTTACTTCGGTGCGTCGAGGCTGGCCAGATGATGAGAGGTAGCAGCGCCCTACCATCAGCGCTTATGCACTCGACAGCAGTCACCATCGTCCGCTTCATGCCAGCACCTCTATAGTCGCGTCTATCGTCCTTACCTACCAGGACTTTGACAGAGCCAAGCTTGCTTAGCATAACCCCTGTCTCATCCATGTTGTACACATTCTCTGGCAGTACCGCTGCATCCTGCAGCACCTTGCCAATTATCTGAAACCACTCTACAGTCTTATCGTATATGTTGTTCTCATGGCGCTTCCAGTCTATTGACTTGACTCGTCTCGCTTTGAGTTCAGGGTGGCGTTTCTCGAAGGCGCGAGCCCAGTTCTTGCCCGGAGGCTTGATCGGCTTGTTGGTCGTCGTGGACCGCCGGCGTGCGATGCTGAAGGCTAGCATAGGTACGTACTTGATCCGAACCGGTTGCCCAAAACTAGACATTAGTAGCAAGAATAAAGCAAGCGCTTTCTCTTCCTCGACAGTAAGGTATTGCTGGCGCTGAGCTTTTGCTTCTTTCGACGTTCCTCCGTGCTTACGACGATGAAGGGTAGAGCGAGGGACATTGCTCTTCTCCGCCATAGTACGATATGTCTCACGCTGGTCGGAAGAGAAGGCTTCAGCCAGTGCTTGACTAGCTGGATCCATAGCCGCGAGTGTGTTGCTGTACCAGCAAAGGGGTGGTAACGAGCAGCCTCGACGTAACTAAAGCGCGTCCTGTCGCTCGGATGACATGCGGCAGAGGACGAGCGGAGCTTGTTCTAAAAATAGCAAGCGCACGACGCAGCTTCGAATGGCGCTTTGATACTGTACCTATCCTAACAAGTTATAGAAGTGCTGAAACAATCGCACCACAGTATAGGCCATCAGATAGGATGATGAGAGGTGAGCGGAATACTACACAAACAAGTGCGCAGTAAGAGTGGGCAAGCGGGCTCTGGCGAATCGTGGTTCCGAAGCCTTTCCGACCTGCGATGTGACAGCGCTTAGCTGTGCCAGCCCTCTCAGCCTTATGCAACGAACGATGGATTGCAGTACTGCTCTCAGCCCGACAGCAGTCTCGCTACTCCATCAGCCTACAACCGCACAAGGCGCGATCGACTGGTTTACCTTATCTCCGTCGCAGACCTCACGTTATGGATGGCCTTTCGGGCGCAGCAAGCGTCATCGCAGTAATCGACATATCCGCCAAGATTGCGTCGCTATGCGTCCAGTACTCTATGGCCGTAAACGACGCGAAGGGCGATATCGAGCGTGTGCGGAGAAAAGTTAGCGACATCAACCATGTGCTGAAGAAGATTAAGCAGCTTCTCGACAGCCAGGACAAGACGCGGCTCTCTGCCACCCAAGGGCTGCTGGACTCGGTCGAACAATGCCTGAACGAGCTGAAAACCCTAGACATGAGGCTAGAACCGGGAAAGACCCGCAAGACTATGAGCCGGTTTGGTTTACGTGCGCTCAAATGGCCGTTTACGAGCAAGCAGGTGGACAAGATTATCTCGAGCTTGGAAGGATACGAACAGACCTTTGGCTTAGCGCTACAGGTTGATCAGACGTAAGCTTCTATACACGGATCTGTCGTGCGCAGAAATAGCCTCTTACTAGCTATATAGGGCTGTTGTGTTCAGCATAGACCAGAAACTAGACCTAGCTAAACTACCCATCGCCCAAGGAGCGTCCTACGACTCACACACGGAGGAACACAACGCGCGATGCCTACCAAACACCCGCACCGCACTGCTGCATGACATCGCAAAATGGGCACAAGATAAGGATAGCAAGTCTATATTCTGGCTTAGTGGCATGGCTGGCACAGGAAAGTCCACAATTGCGCGGACTATTGCCGAATCATTTGCTAGGCGCGGCCAGCTAGGAGCAAGCTTCTTCTTCAAGAAAGGTGAGGGCGAGCGTGGCAACGCGTCACGGTTCTTTGCTACCATCGCCACGGACCTAGTCGCCTGCGAGCCAGGGATGCTGCCTGGTATTAAGAAGACGCTCGACGAGGACCCGGCTATCTCACACAAAGCTCTAAAAGACCAGTTCGAGAAGCTTATTCTACAGCCACTTCTAGGGATAAAGCAGACTCACTCGCGGGCCTTGGTGCGAGTTGTCGTGATCGACGCGCTAGACGAATGTGAACAAGAACCAGACGTTCGAGCGATCCTTCAGCTGCTCGCTCAGACGAAGGACATTCGCCCAGTGCCGCTACGGATCGTGGTCACCAGTCGGCCAGAGCTCCACATCCGCCTAGGCTTCAAGGAAATGCCAAACGGCACATACCAAGACCTAGTGCTCCACGAAGTACCAAGGAGCACGATCGAGCATGACATCCGTCTGTTCCTAGAGCATAAGCTTAGTATAATACGAAAAGAACGCATGCTAGCCTCAGACTGGCCAGCTCAACAGCATATCATAGCGCTAGTTGAGTTAGCTGTGCCGTTGTTCATCTACGCTGCCACTGTGTGTCGGTATATTGGCAGTAAAGGAGGCGACCCCGAAGTGTACCTGAACAAGGTCTTGCAGTATCCAAAAACAGCTTTTTCACAGCTCGACCGAACCTACCTTCCCGTCCTGGACCAGTTGCTTGTTGAGCAGGAAGAAAGAGATAGAGAAGAGTGGCTGCGCATCTTCCGTGAACTCGTAGGTAGCATAGTCATCTTAGCAAGTCCACTTCCTGTCGGCCCCCTTGCGCGCCTCCTTCAAGTTCCAAAGAAACAAGTCGAATGCCGGTTAGATGCCTTGCACTCCGTTCTTAGTATTCCTGACAGGGAGGACGTTCCTATCAGGCTACTGCACCTGTCCTTTCGCGAGTTCCTCCTCGACCCCCAAAAGCAAGGAAAGAACCCGTTCTGGGTGGATGAGAAAAGGACACACCAGAAGCTTGCATCTCGCTGCCTCGAGCTTATGTCTGGATCTGGCGGTCTTCATCAGGACATGTGCGGCCTTCTAGGCCCTGGAGTACTAAGGAGTGAGGTAGATGAGCAGACAGTTGCTACTAGGCTGCCACCTGACCTACAGTATGCGTGTCGCTACTGGGTTAACCATCTCAAGCAGAGTGGGCAAGGCATTGTTGACGGAGACGCCACGCACCTCTTTCTACGGAAGCATCTTCTTCATTAGCTTGAGGCTATGAGCCTTATAAGAGAACTGAGTACATGCATTAACTTGCTTAACAGCCTTCAGACGCTTACTAGTGTAAGACTTTTAAAAGACACCTTTCTCTTACTCTACTAACGTACAACGCAGGCACATACAATGCTAGTTTCAAGCTTTCTCCACGACGCTAGGCGGTTCGTGCTGCGGTTCCAGTCTGTGCTTATAGTCGCACCGTTGCAGACCTATTACTCGGCGTTAGTATTCGCACCAGAGAAGAGTGTGATACGACGAACATTTATAGGCCAAGTGCCAGAAAAGGTGGAGATGCTATCTAAGAAAGACGTAGACTGGGATGCGTGTCGTAGCACGCTCGAGGGCCATTCCTCTAGTGTCACCGCGGTAGCCTTCTCGCCAGACGGGCAGCTAGTCGCGTCAGCATCTGATGACAACACAGTACGGCTATGGGAGGCGGCGACAGGGACGTGTCGCAGCACGCTCGAGGGCCATTCCTCTAGTGTCACCGCGGTAGCCTTCTCGCCAGACGGGCAGCTAGTCGCGTCAGCATCTGGGGACAAGACAGTACGGCTGTGGGAGACGG